TAATATTCAACTTGAAGCATCTCTGGACATTGTAATAAAATACGTCAAGCTTAACACTAGTATACCAAAGAAGGGGAAAGTTCCACATACTATGAAGTGGCAAAATCAACTAGATATCAGGAAACTAAAATTCAGGCTTTAGAGCCCATATTACTGATGGCAAGACCTTTTTGAGATTAGAGCAACAAGTTTGTAGATTAAGCTATTTCTTTGCAGGTTCTTCTGGATGTAAAAAATGAAGATTTTGATCAATTCTTCCACAGATCTACCCAGATAAAGAACAACCCTGCACCCCCACCCCAATTCTCACCAGCTTCTATCAAGAACAAGAGAAGTAGCAGATTAAAGCAATAAAAATTCTAAGGTCCAAAAAATTGGTGAAATGATCTGATAGAACATAAAACAAAAGAAACTGCAAAACCATTCTCACAAGTTTAAAAAATTATGCTGAGTAGGTCTAGTTCTAACAGCAACTCAAATTAGAAATAATTACAAGGTGTTTGTGATATAATATCCTATGATCTAACTGTAGAAATCAGACTAGAAGTAGAATACCAAGAAAATCAATATTTGCTTTAAGCTCTTGTTTATGCTGCACACTACATCTTGCAATTCAACTATGTAATTCTGCTTTAGTAAAACATTTCACTTTCAATTAGTACTCAATGCTCCTGTTACGTAGGTGTCTCTCATGGCCATGTTGGAACAGTACAATATGTTGAGGCAGGAAAAAGAAGAGGAGAAGCAAAGACAAAGGGTTAGTATCATTGTTTCACTACACAGGCGAATAAGTCCAACAGTTATTCGCGAGATGCAAATATATGTTGCTTCTCTCCTGTTATGCCAGTCCCTTGTAATGGTTTCTTNCTTCACTACACAGGCGAATAAGTCCAACAGTTATTCACAAGATGCAAATATATGTTGCTTCTCTCCTGTTATGCCAGTCCCTTGTAATGGTTTCTTAAAATTAGCATATGGGTCCAATAATTTAAATTCATCCACAACAAACTTTTAAAGTTTACTTTCTTTCTGATGAAGTTGCTTCTTTCCAACAGGAAAAGAAAAAAGTTCAGAGTCAAGTAGTAGTCGAGCAAAACAATTTGCTTGGGCCTAGGCCAAGCACTAGTAATCGGCGACTGACAAGCAGAAGCTTAAATGGAGGTTTTAGCAGTGCTACACCTATGAACAGGAGGCTTTCTTTGGGCATACAGCAGCTAGGAACAAATAGCATCAGTTCACCAACTCAAGGCATATCCTTCATTAAGGAAGGAAAAAAGGCACATGGACCAAAGACATATGCTCACAGCCACCTTGCTTATCATCTCAAAGAAGATACAGCTTCAGTAGTCTCAACATTTTCTGGCCCCTTCTCACCTTAAATTTTGCATCAGATGGATGAGATTTCACGTTTAATGAGAATTCACCAAGTAGGAGAGATTAGAATGTGTTCCAGCAGGCAAAAATAATGATTGCGCAAAAGAATAATTCAGCTTCTATTGTCAGTTTGTAAAAATACTTTGATAATTATGTCTTGCCTCTTTATGAAGGCCCTCATTTAGAATTTTAAGCTGCTTGGGATAACAAGTAAGATTAACAAAAAAATATGATTGATTTTTATTTTAGTACATGCCAATACTGCAGTGTGATATGTAGTAATTTGGTGTTTCTGAAGTAAAATAAATGTGTTTTCCCCAATCAAAGAGCTTTTGTTTACCTGATGCTGAATCGAGTAATGCCTTATCTGCTCTTATCAACATGCATCTGTCAAACTAGATGCAAATATGCACAATTCTGGCCTTTCTAGTTTTCTATCACATTAGAGTCAACTCTCCAAATCATCCACTAAATTAACAGTTAATTGACCCAATCATCTTAGTAAAGAATGCATAGCTGTGGAGCCTCACATCTATGAACATTTATCAGGTCAATTACAATGCTCAAGGTCCCATGAACATTCATTTACTTTAAAAAATTGAATGACAGCTTTGATGCAAGGCATGCAATGGTGAAACTATTTGAGGCAATAAATAAATACCTCTGCCTTCTATTGCCTCCTCAGGATTCTTGAATCCCATTCCTATATGAATTGATTCAAGTGACAACCGTGTCCCTTGCATGACAAGTATTATGCCTGAGGAAGAAAAAGTTTGCAAACTGTGTGCACCTTTAAATGCCAATCAACATTAGTATTTCCGACAAATTAATTAAATATAATAAACTAAGATGAAAAACAATGAAGATACCATAAGAAACACTGACAATGCGAAAGTGATTTTTAATGTTGTTCAAGTCTTTTATCACCAAATACAGAAATTAGGTATAGATTAGTAATATAATTTGAGTTATGAGAACAAAAACTGCTTCAATACACAAATTATATGATTCCACAGGCCAAATATTGTATCATAATTAACAACAATAACCATAAAGACCTAAGAACACTTGTGAAAGAAAGCATCAATCCTCCGAGTCCCAGCCGGAACCGCCTTATCATCTGACCGAGTCTTCATCCGCTCTGTCACCGGTTTATCGGACGGCTGAGCCGGCAATGGGAGCGAGTCCAGGAGGAAATCACTAGTAGGTTGATGCCTCTTCACCGCTACTCTCAAATGCTCGAGCTTCACAGTCTTTCTCTTCTTCTCTAACGCGACTTGTGCTGATTTTTCAGCGAGGGATTGAAGGAAGTGTTCTGTGGAGCATGAGATTAGGAATAGGGCTTCTGAGTTGATCTTGTTGATGTCTTTGTCGAGTTTGATGAGTGTCTTGACTCGGCCAGTGGGTAGTTTGGGTTGGTGAGGTGTACCTATGTCGTTGTTCTCATCTTCTGGTTCTGCCATTGTCGGTGAGCAAATTGTGGGAGTGGAGGAGTGAAGAATTGGGGATGAGAACTGGTTTTCAAGTTTTGGATTTGGCGGGAAACGCAAATTGTTTGAGATTTTTTGTGAAGCGTGAATTGGCAATAAATGGCTTCAACCTCAGTTATATTACACAGAGCTTATACGATGTTTGAAGGCCTTTTCGGAATATAGCAAGGGTAGTGTAGTCATGTTGTTTATTTACCAGCCACGTGAAATGCATTTGGCGCCAACGGGGAGAAAATATGTTACCGTGGCCGACACGGATGAGTATGTTAGACAATTTTTTTTTAGAGGCGTTCAAATTTGTGATTGACTGCAATTTTTTATCCTACTCAATCTTATTTTACTCTACTAAATGATTAGCTATAAAAGTTAGATAGAAATATGAAGAAGTTTTTGATCTTTCGATTATATCAGATAAGAATGTAGAATATTCATCAATTTATTTATTTCTATCATGTCCTATTCGCAAAAAATATATTTAATTTTTTTTTAATAATTATAAGAATATTTGTATGGTATAATTTATATTATAACATTATCGTTGTTGTGGTTGTTTGAGTTGCTAAAACATATACTTGTTTTTTTTGTAGATTACATGATTTGTAGTGAACTAATAATTTATTTGAGCAGTTATGATTTTAATATGTTTCACATAGTTTAAACTTAAAATAATTATTATTGTATTTATATAACAATTATAATGGATTAATGTTCATGATTTCTTGTGTTTTATTATAATTGTTGTTGTAGTTGTTTTATTAATTATTGTTAAATTGGTGTATGTTATTTAATTGAATTATTAAAATAATCAAAAAATTAATAGCTACAAAAGTGTTTACTCGATTTCCTATTTGATTAATCGGGTAGAAATACCACACCTGATCAGGTAGGATTTCTGCAAAGTATTGGGTAGGAAGACAAAAGATTATATTTTCTACATGTAAATAGGGTGAACACCCCTAAACTTTTCAATGTTAAACAAAATTAATTAGTTAAATAAATGAAGTAATATTTAAAACCACCGTTTAAAGTAATATTTAAACATTGGTTAAAGAATCGTTAATGTTATTTTTATATTTAATTTAATTTGAGGATCTAATTTATTATAAAAAATTTGAATTTTATTCAACATAGAAATTTTCTTGCTGAATACATTACTTTATATCGTAATTATTATTCCTAGTTAAAAACAAGATAAATTTTATTGAGACAATATTTTTGGTAACAATAATGAAATTATTGAAGCCCAATTCTCGATTTGTCCATTAAAAAGTAATTTCAAATCAAATAAAAAAGTCAAAATTTAAATTTATTTTTTAGACTATAAATTTGATAGTCTATTTCATATTTATATAATAAAGTAGTTTATAATTCAAATTTCAAAAGATAAACAAAATGACTTTTGCTATTCACGATTGAGATCGCTTTAAATTTTATTTTAAAGTTAATCTAACGGTTAATATTAACACTCTAAATTTAATAGGAAAAAAAGTTTCTAAAGATGTGTTTGGAGTGACTTTTTTAAAATATTTATAGAAATTACACATCATAAATACTTAAAAAAAAAATAGTATTTAAAACTGCTTCACCACCACTCCCACCATTGCCACTATCGTCGCAGCTGTCGCCGCCACCACCACCACCACCACAGCTATCGTCGCCACCATCACTACTATCACCACCACCACGATTATTGACACTCCAACACAACCATTACTGTCTCTTATCACCAGCATTGTCGTTTACCACCTTTCACCCCATTATAAAAATCGATACTTAAATTTATTTATTCTCTATATTTGTGATTTGATTTTGAATATAAATATAAGTATATTTATTATTTTTTATTTTTTATTACTTTGTGTTTTCAGACACAAGTAATAACTAGTACTAACTAAACTAAATAAGTCATTCGAGACGGAAGAAAACTAGAAACAACCAAAACTTAAACTTTATTTAAACAACGAAAGCTATTAATTTTTAATTAACTTCGGTTAAATTTCTCATAAATTTTCAAATCATGATCTTATCTTTGATTAAAAAAAAGAAAAATTTAATTAAAATATGTGTAAAATGATATAAAATCGTAATATGAAAAACAAGGAAAAAGGTAAAACGGCTTTATCTGCTCGTAACCCATATCAGCCAGAGCGTCTGGAAACTAGGGAAGCTTACATTAATCTAAATTCAACCCACTGGAGTAGTTCTGAACCAGAAAAGAAAAGAAAAGAAAAGAAAATGTGAGTTATTGATATTATTCATTATCAATCAATTATGTTTTTACTTGCAATTTCTCTGTTCTATAAGCAGGAGGGCTTCGATCAAACGTCCTCCAACCCCAGACGCAGATGAAGAACAAGATCGTCAGCCCAATCTCCAAGAAGTCATCAACATGAAGGTGATTACTAATGACATCAGTACTGATTAATTACTCATAATCACGATAATTTGTTTCGTTGATGAGCAATTCCAAACTATGTTTGTAGGCTGGGAAATTTCGATTTTTAACTTTTTTTTTTTTAGAAAATTCTGCTTGTCCTCGTGTTTAATTTTCGTGCAGTTCTTGGATTGATTTGTTAATTTGTATTTCTGATTTGCATTTTTTGGATATTTTTATTTTTATATTTTGATTGGTCCATAGTTGATAGAGAGTGGGGAGAAGGAACGATTGAAGGAGCTTTTGAGGGAGAGACTTATAGAATGTGGTTGGCGGGATGAAATGAAATCTCTTTGCAGGTTCTCTATCTATTTATTTGTATTTGTAGTTTCTTATTATTCTTGCCGTCGCTGTTTTTTCATTCCAATGCTATTGTCTTCAGAAAACGAATAGCCCTTAATTATTCAGTGAAAATAAATTCCAACCAGGATAATAGCATTGAATTGTTCTTAAGTGCTGTGTAATTGTGGTATGCAGTGTTTGCTATTAAGCGAGAGAATATGGGAATGGCAATGCATCTATGTTTTTTTTGATATCTCAACTGTCTCAGCCACTCATTTCGGATTAATGCTGGACCTTGTGTAAAGTCACATTTCCACACAAGAGGGTGAATCTATGGGTCATCGTGGGATATTCAAACCTAGTACTTACTCCTTATGAGAGCTTTATCAAATGGCTGAGCTACCACTAGGAATGCCAATGCATCTATTATCTTAAATCATGGTCAAAATATTGAAAGAAAACAAAGCTGTTGCGGCATATATTTGTCTGAGTATGACAACGTGTTGAGCTGGCACTGGGATATTTTTGGACTCCAGCTCCAAAAGTGAGCGCACACTTAGTCCAGACCTTTTACCATCCAACTAATTGAAGCTCACAAATGTTAACAGAGATGGAAGAAAGAAAAGATGTGGAAAAGAATCATTTATAGCCTTCTTACTTATGTGCATATGTAAAAGAAACAAGTGATTAGTTGGCAAAAGAAAATTAACTTCTTGTCCTAAAATTTGATAATAAGCCCCTCTGCTTGACATTAGCATATGGGACAAAAAAATCCATACAGCAACTAAAGCAGAATTTTACTCAGACTTTCTTGATTGGTTTTAGTTTTGATTTTTAATGCTTACCTAGTGTTATGAGTTTAGGTGCATTGATTAGCTAGTTATTTGCCCTATCCACTTCTTATCTTGTGTTCTTATTGATCTATACAAGATTGTCTCCTTCTCAAGTACACCTAAAATTGCTGTCTCTATTTTGTTTACACAAGGGCATTTACAAGGAAGAAAGGAAGGAATAACGTGACACTAGACGACCTTGTTCATGTCATCACCCCAAAAGGCAGAGGTGGGTGGGTTAATCCTCGAACCTTGTTGGATTTGGCATGTATTCTTCAATGCCAACCTTGTCTCTCAAATGAATAATTGTATGGTCCTACTTTTGAATTAAGTTTTTTTTCCAGTGAAAAAGTTTTCAGCAGTTCCAATGTCTTAAGAGGCAGCGTTTTTTGTGATTGGAAGTAGTTTAGATGATCCCACTTGGAAAAAGGTAAAGTGAAAATGATTAATGGCAAGTACACTGGTAGAAACTGTCATTAGACTAGTAGAAACGTGAAACCATGTGGCTTTTACCCCAAGCATACTATCCAAATGACAAATATTATGGCTTGCTATAAATCATAAGTGAGAACTATCCAAATGACAAATAATATGACTTACCATTAATCAGAATTCAGAAAGTATACATGAGAGCATCATTTATGTGGCTCAAGGAAATTGTTAGCCCATGTGTCTCGTCCAAGTTGGAGGAGGAACTACATCAAAAAGGAGTCATGCATCATCTGTATATGTGTTGGTTAGTATCTGCAATTTAAAGTTCTGCAGAAAGAGTTGTATTTTTTTTCCTGGAAGGTAAATAGAAAAAGCTGTATTTTAAACTTGCCTATTTGTGGATATTTTCTCAAACTGTAAATTGCATGTGATTTATTACCACATATCATGTGCCCTCATTCTAGCCGATCAAGCATTCTAAAACAGATGGCAATTCAAGAAGATACCATTACCATTCTCAACCAATGAATGGTAAATGAATATGTAATCTGCCAAATAATCCAGCTCAAAATCTAAATAATATGCATACAACTAGTCCTCTATACTTGGCAAGAGTAATTTGTTTCTATAGGCTACTCAGAGATCCGCAACAAAATGATACATGACGTCCTTGTGTTCATCTGAAGTGGACTACAAGGGCAATCTGTTCCAATCTATGCTTATCAATATCGTTGTAGAAACATTTATTTACGATGTCTACTTTATCTCTTAGACCAGAATAATTTATACTTGTATTAGTTTTCTCATACTTCTTGTTTACATAAAATATGTATTGGTTTGTTTATGCAGCTTCTGTTCCAGATTCTGTAAAAGCTGAGCTGCTTCAGCGAATCCGATCTTTTCTGGCATCGGCTGTTCCTTGATTGGAACATAGCCATTACCAGTTGGAAGTCAATGATTGAAAGACACATTTCACTTAACTGCTTTGGCAGCTTTTCTGCCAAACCAATCCGCTCTATGATCTGAAATCTGTTGTGAAAGTGTTGTTGAATTAGCTCTTCTGAAATGAGATTGTGTCTGAACCTACACCTACTGGTTTACTACACTTGTAGGAGATTTAAATGCAGACTATGCCGCTCAGGAGTCAGTACTATTGTCTTGTATTGGAATTACATTTATAATGTGCAGTGTGCAGTATACCATTAACCTGTCAATTAATCTGTTTATACACTCCCTTTAATGGGTTGAAGGAGCTTTCTCAAGAGCAGTTCTGTTTGCGTTGCTAGTTTAAAGTCGGCTGACTGTATCGAGTAGCTTCCTGCAAAGTCTTGTACCCTATTCCTGTTCTCCCTGTTCTTCCTCTGGGGCTCTATTTGCATGCTCTCAATACTCTTGGTCTGTGTTGGGACTTCCATATAGGGGGATTTGATGGGTAAATACTTAGATATTAATCACTGGTTCTGTGGTTCAGACTAAGGTAGTATGAAGGATGTACTGTACTAGTAGTCACATTTTAATAGAAATCAGATACCAATCATTTGGGTGCAAGTTTTCATTAAAAAAGTACTGTTAAAATTCGATGGTCAAATTACCATAAAAAAAATTAAAATCAATCCTAAAACGTTACCAAATAAAAATTTTCATAACTCTTTGATTTAAGATTTATGATGACCATAAACAATCATGGACCACAGTATCAGACGAGAGAGAGAGGGGGAGATAATTTCTCTCTCTTTTTTTTTTATTAAGTAAAATTGAGATTAAAAGAAAATGGAGTACAAAAGAAAAATCAAGCTATGAAGCTTGACACTTGCCCGAAAGCGGTAATTCTCAACCTAGTCAAAACACACAAGGACTAAGAAGGCAGATAACAAAGAAAGGAAAGAACTTTGAATCCAAAATTTAATGCTAGGCAAACAAAAAAACCAAAATGCTTGCTTCACCCGCTTCCACTGCCATCATTTGCGCTGTTTAATGACAATCATTTGTAAGATCTTGTTCCATATCTTTATAAAATCTTGATTATTGTAAGTTTTGTCGAATTCAATTCTATGCAATATTCATCTATGGATTACTACAATTCGTACGAAACAAAGCTGTCCACTTCATCCCTCTTGCCTTCCATTTGTTTGTCATTTGATTCTTTTTCTCTTTCAATGCTATGTGAAGTTGTTCTGTGATGTTTCCCCTGAATAATGTAAGGCTATTGGTCTATGTCCTCGGTAAATCTTGCACCTCTTTTTAACCTCCTCTTTTCTTTTTCCCATCCCTTCTCGAAACTTGAAATCTGCACTTTGCTTACACCATATAGATGAAAATATCACTTGAACCACCAGCTAGTGGGGTTTGTTAACCATTTAATATTGACTTGCAGGCCGTCGTACAAATTGAACGTGTCATATGTTACTGTCCAATTTTGCTGTCTTCCACACCAGCCACATAGAAAATGGCTAAATTTTGACCACTTTCTGGAAAATTTCTCAGATATGTTGGTGAACAACCATGATTAACCTTGGTATAACGTTTCAGGAGATGCTAACTATATAAAAAATGAACGCCTAACCTGATTCTTATTGGAACCAAAACTTTCGGTGGTAGGTAAAAGATACTTTACTTCTTCAAAAGAAAAATTGTTAATCTTTGTCGTTGACACATAGGGCTGCAAATGATCGACCTTTCGAACCCAAACAACTATTCGGGAATGAATGAGCTGGGCGAATAATCTGGTGNAACAATCATGGACCACAGTATCAGACGAGAGAGAGAGGGGGAGATAATTTCTCTCTCTTTTTTTTTTATTAAGTAAAATTGAGATTAAAAGAAAATGGAGTACAAAAGAAAAATCAAGCTATGAAGCTTGACACTTGCCCGAAAGCGGTAATTCTCAACCTAGTCAAAACATACAAGGACTAAGAAGGCAGATAACAAAGAAAGGAAAGAACTTTGAATCCAAAATTTAATGCTAGGCAAACAAAAAAACCAAAATGCTTGCTTCACCCGCTTCCACTGCCATCATTTGCGCTGTTTAATGACAATCATTTGTAAGATCTTGTTCCATATCTTTATAAAATCTTGATTATTGTAAGTTTTGTCGAATTCAATTCTATGCAATATTCATCTATGGATTACTACAATTCGTACGAAACAAAGCTGTCCACTTCATCCCTCTTGCCTTCCATTTGTTTGTCATTTGATTCTTTTTCTCTTTCAATGCTATGTGAAGTTGTTCTGTGATGTTTCCCCTGAATAATGTAAGGCTATTGGTCTATGTCCTCGGTAAATCTTGCACCTCTTTTCTTTTTCCCATCCCTTCTCGAAACTTGAAATCTGCACTTTGCTTACACCATATAGATGAAAATATCACTTGAACCACCAGCTAGTGGGGTTTGTTAACCATTTAATATTGACTTGCAGGCCGTCGTACAAATTGAACGTGTCATATGTTACTGTCCAATTTTGCTGTCTTCCACACCAGCCACATAGAAAATGGCTAAATTTTGACCACTTTCTGGAAAATTTCTCAGATATGTTGGTGAACAACCATGATTAACCTTGGTATAACGTTTCAGGAGATGCTAACTATATGAAAAATGAACGCCTAACCTGATTCTTATTGGAACCAAAACTTTCAGTGGTAGGTAAAAGATACTTTATTTCTTCAAAAGAAAAATTGTTAATCTTTGTCGTTGACACATAGGGCTGCAAATGATCGACCTTTCGAACCCAAACAACTATTCGCGAATGAATGAGCTGGGCGAATAATCTGGTGTTCTTCTCTCTCTCTCTCTCTCTCTTTAATTTTTTCAAATAAAGGGCGTATTAGACGACATTAATTTTTTTTATGTGTAAGTTACAATTTTAAAGGGCATGATTAATCATAGAAGATTGAGATCGATACCGAGATTTTTATAATCGATCATGGTCTTTTGTTGAACAGTTGTAATTTTTTTTTTTTAAGTTATAACTTTATCCATAAAAAATGATAACCGATGGTATGGCACCAACTTTTTTTTTGGTAGCGTAAAATTTCCCTAAAATGAGTGTAAGATTACAATTTCAAATGAGGATATTATTATTATTTTTTTTTTGAGATTTGTCAAATTAGGGCAAAAAATTAGATGAGTTATAATCCTTTTAGGATCGATTACACATAACCTTAATTTTTTTTAACTTCAACAAATTAACTCTATACATCTTCTTTATTTTATACTACTTTTTACAACGATAAACAACTATTCGGTGTTCCCTCAGTTCTCTTCTAGAGATATCTGGACCTCTCCTTTATTTGACCTGGTTCCCTAAAAAATGCCACCCTGACTTTAGAATAATTTGCTATCTATTTCACGGCTGCATAAGCTAATCAAAAGTTTAGGCTACGACGAATAAATATTCCTAGTTTGTTAAGATATGTAAGAACAAATCTAGTACTAAGGATTGTATCTGCCAAAAGAAGTGGTCTTTTTCTATTAAAGCAGTGGGATGTTCTGGTTGCAACTTTACTTTCTTGCAGTTGTGGCCAGACTGCCACTCTAGTGGAGTCCTACAATGTAGGCAATTTCAGCTCCTTCCTCTTTCAGCTTTGGCTGTCAATGAATATTAAATCGAATCGTTAGTGATCTAATTGATTTATTCTCTCTTGCGCTTCTTGGAATATCTGATGCCTAAAAATCCTTATTTCTAGCTACTTCTTTTAGTTCTTGGAGGGTGAGAATTAGGGTTTGTAATGGGTAGTGTGTTAAACTTTGTCCAACTCATGTTCGATTTAGTTTATACTCGTGTACCGTTGAATTTACTTCACTTTAGATTTGTTCAATATACAAGTCGAATTTGTGTCAGCCAATTTATTTGATGGATTATATTAGTGCACTTGTTTTTTATCAAAACTCGTTAAATCCAACAAAAATCTGCTCATTCTATATCGGTTTAATTTTGAAAGCGCAAATCATGTCTAAAATTACCAACATTATGCTGGACTCACCTGGTATTTAATGTTTTAAGTTCATTAGATACCACACCAGTGATTGGATTTTTGGATAAGCACCCACTGTTTCTTCAACTTGAAACATTATCGATTTTTTCTCTAATTTATTATGCAGCTCATGATGGGGGTTTGTTCAATCATTCTAAGTTAAATGTCGTCGAAATCTATATAATAAAATACATAAGAGTTTGAAAGTTTATTCCCTATACATTTTTCCTCCTAAAAATATCACTCATCAAATTTTATCTATTACATGTTCAATCACTTAACATTTGATTAATTTGTAATTTAACACAATTTTTATTTTATATATTATTCATACACGATAATATACACATGTTGAAAAAATTTTGTCGAATTATATATTTTTATAAAATTTTGATGCTATTTTTAAAAAAATAATAAATAAAAATTAATTTTAAATAATATAATAAAAGAAACGAAGAAATAAAAAATTGTTAATTGATCTGGTGGGATCAATTTTTTAAGCGCTTAAATTTTATATTTCACCATATTTTCAGGCATAAGTTATAACTAGTGTTTTGATATACGTCGCTCTTTTGTCTAACAGAGGAAATTTACTTTCGGACATCATATCATTGTACTTTTGTATACTTTATGTTGTATGGTATATTCTATTTTGGTAGGAGCAGTTGGCTCCATTAATACTGTGGGTAGGGTGTGTATTATATTACTTTCTCTTAAATGTAATTCCTACAGTATACCTTACTATTATTGGAAATAAATCTCACTTAGACGATGGTGGTGATCGACCTTTATAATTTTTTTATCTGGAGCAGAAATCTCACTTGAACGTTGCATTCCACTTGGACAAGGTATGCTCCCAGAAGCGACTTCCAGGAAACCGGCCGCAAAGGCTATGTGCTTTTGTCACACCCCGCCCCGGATCGCATAGGGTGAGTGCATAGGATGAGCACGGACTGACCACTAAGACTTTAACCAATTATTCCTAACACATTTATAACTAAACTCATGTAAAATAATATTACTAAACTCATGTAAAACAATAATTAATTCATAAGATTCAGTACTCTAAGCAAAAATAATATTGATCTCAAAATAATTGAATACTTGTCTCAAAACTATAAAAAAAAATTTTATTCCTGAAGACCTACAATAAAATAAATCTTCGATTCTTCTAATCCCTTGTCTATCCGATGACTTACTCCTCCTCCTGATCCTCACCTGAAAAATTTTAAATATTTGGGTGAGCACAAAGACCCGTGAGTAGCAAATACCTCTAATGAGGTT